CCTACATCCAAAAGTAAACTTACGTCGATAATGGCAGCTGCACTGCTGTCCAAGTGCTTGTAAAGATCGTTCAAAACCTCCCTCAGCTTCTTCATGTTCTTCTTGTTGGGCTGTAGCAGCATTGCTTGGAAGTTCACAGGCAACCCATATCTGGTTATTTAGAATTAAAAAAAAAATTTTTTTAAATGAGTGATGCACTGATATGAAAATTCTGGGCCAAAACAGAAACCAAAAATTTAAGATGCACTTGATTGAAACCGAAACTCACTTAAAAAAATGATCACTCAAATTATTTTAATAATACATTTATGAATCAAATTGATGTAATAATCAACACTCAAATACAATCTGAAATTGCACACAAGGCAGTTCTTATGTCAACTTCTAAATAACAATTACGTTTCTACTCCAATTTGTTGTTGAAATGTACAAATTTAAACTTAATAAAAACGTATTTACTTTGATTTATTCTATCATACATTAAATAATGAAGATGACGGGTTAAGTAAAAATATAATGAATATGTAATATAGTGCATATAGCCTATTTAGCAAAATGGTCTTCTCTAGAGTTCTTTTTTTCTTTATGGACATTGAATGGCACTTTCGGAAATCACTCATTTTATTTTAGTTTTAAATCTAGTTTTTCTATTTGTCCATCTCATATGATCACAAATTTACCAAACAAATGAGTTCAGACTGTTCAAAAGTATTCATCTAGCTGACATCAGCAAGTTGTAGAAGTTCAGAATGAGACTTTTCCATAAACGCGGTATGAACTTTTATTCCAATGAACTCTTATTTCGAAAGAAAATCCAAGAAAAGTTTGATTGCTCATGATACGAGCTCTCTAAGAACCTAAATAGATGTTGTATCGTGTCGCTACCTCAACACCGATTCCACAAAGACCCTCAGAGCCTTAATATGGATCCAAGCAATAAAAGCCTCACTGAAGTTCACCTTCAGCCATCGAACAAGTGGACCCTGCAGACGACACATGCACGAACCAGTTAAAAATATCATGCCAACTGCTCTGAAGATCCATTTAGCAGATACATACAAACTGCTTCTTCTTGTCAGTTGAGAGTCTGGTCATCTCCTCCTTGTCTGCTTTCATTTCCTCCTCGTTGTACTGGAAGTCCCGGACCGTGAACCTGTAAAGCGGACACTGGGATGACTTAAGATCCTTAAACTGGATATTCTCTCAGTCATCTGAACGGTGATTCATGACCACACGGTGGAGCTGAAATTGGCTGCTTACTTGTTTTCTCTGGCCTTGAGTCTGAAGTCATCGATGGCCTTTCTGAAGAGCGTGACGGTAAACAGGCCGCTGTCTTGGTCCTCAAAAAGCAAACTGCCGAGAAGAAAATAACACTATATTTAGTACTGGCTAGCAGGGAGAACCTCAAATGTGACCTTGGACCACAAAACCAGTCATAAGTGTCAATTTTTGGAAATGGAGATTTATACATCATAGGATAGTACAATATTTGGCTGAGATACAATTATTTGAAAATCTGGAATCTGAGGGTGCAAAAAAATCTAAATATTGAGAAAATCATCTTTAAAGTTGTCCAAATGAAGTTCTTAGCAATGCATATTACTAATCAAAAATTAAGTTTTGATATATTTACGGTAGGAAATTTACTAAATATCTTCACGGAACATGATCTTTACTTAATATCCTAATGATTTTTGGCATAAAAGAAAAATGTATAATTTTGACCCATACAATGTATTGTTGGCTATTTCTACAAATATGCTTGTGCTACCTAAGACTGGTTTTGTGCTCCAGGGTCACAAATGTCCCAGTCATATTTCACTCAAAATAAATAAGAATTATATTTTGCATTAAGAAAATTCTCATTACTCTAATGCATTAAAAATATTGGAATTGCACAACATTTACACGACTGTTGGGCTACCGTTAAATTATACTCATTTAAGTAAAAAAGTACAACAGTAATGCAGTCAAAAAAATTACTTTACTAACAATAATGACAATCTCCAGTGAGATTAACAAAACACCTATCATATTTCATTTTACACTAAAGACACTTGGTTAATGGTGTCTGTTTGTTCTGCTGCATTAGTTAATTGGTTTCCTAAGTAACCAGCATGCCACTAATTTGTCTAGTTAAGTCCTAAACATGTTCTCCTCAACCAGAGGCCAATCAGACACATTGATTTCCCTAGAATATCAGCCGTCTCCAACATATCATTTTGTCCGTCAGCTTTCCCCAAATCCCATTTATTGCTTTATTTTTTAAATTAACACCTTTTAAAACAAACAACACCTATATGACAACATTAAAATGAATAATTCTATTATCGAAAGGCAAAACACAGCATGTTCTTATTAGTACTTGATCAGTTCTCCTTCATTTCTACTCTGTGACTTGTGACCAGGTGCAGAACTCCTTAGCCAAGCAAGACACTTCCAGAATTATAAATCTAAATTGTTGTAAGTTTCTTACTTTGTAGAGCGTGGCACCACCATTTCTGAAAGAGTCTCGTAAGTGTGCTGCCAGTCAGCATAATTTGTTCTGAAGGGTTAGAAAACTTGCTGTCAGTATGTGCATGAGAAAAAATTTAACACAATAGGTTTGTGTGCATCCAAAAAGATGTTCAGAGAGGCTCATTTTTATGTTTTGGAATTAGGGCTGGGCGATATGGCAAAAAGTTAAATCTCTTTTTCCTGAAAATTTGACCAATTCTAGATTTTTTTTACATTAAACTTCTCAACATAAAAGCACACGTGATTTCAACATGGATTAAATGTCAAACAAATCACTTCTTAAATATCTTTGCAGAAAAGATGCATGAATTATGAAGGCACATATTGTACAAACTTATCTTAAACATATCATATGTTCAGAAATAATGTAAGAAAAATGCTAAAAAAAAGGGCAATTTGAAATAAATGAAAGTATAACACCAGTAGACCATTATTAAGTCTAAATGTTTTGTAAAAACAAAGAAAATACCAGCAGCTTTCAGCCTGTCAGCATCATGCAAACATGAAATATCAGACATACAATAGTAGTTCATTACAGGTTTTTCATTGCACTGCGCTGCTTTCCATTCTTTTTCCACGTGCTTGATGGCGTTTGACTGTTGTGTCTTTTGCAGTGTCTAGTGCATGAAATGGCATCCTAAAACACAGTGCTCAAGTTCAACTTCCGTCTCCTTGCTTTTTCCCCCATTCCGCTGCCCTATTCTCTGTGTGAATAGCACCATATGTTTTACGTATGGTCCTTCATAGAGTGTGTCACACGTGAGCAGTTCATCACATTCGCCCAATCATGCTGTTATCAATAGTTTATTGTCAACGTGTCTAATTCTTCTAACATTTGCTAAGAGTTCTATTCAAATTCTGATTCTTCGATTTATAAAAAATAAAATTGTGACAAAACATTACATTTGAATTCATCGATAAAATCGCACAGGTTCCAAATTTGGAATTTGTCACTTACTTTGGTACCACCACCAGCATAGTAATGAGGTACTCGGAATCAAGCACAAAGTTTTCTTTCTTGACAATATCTGCCAAACTCCTGGTCAGCAGGCTCCCTCTGGTGAGATGACAAAAATCACACTGGTTCATTGGAAAATGCTTCCCTAACCATGACTCTCAAAGTCATTCCTTTAATTGATTTTCTTAAAGGAGTAGTTCACCCAAACACTGAAATTATGACTATTTTGGACTACTTTTTTGGATTTGTCAGATGTATAAACGGTTATCTGGAAAAGAGCTCTGTGAATATTCTTTTAAAAATCTCGTGTTCCATGAAAAAAACCCCCCCTGAAATTTCCATTGTAAAAATTATTATTTATTTATTTTTGTAAGTGTTGCATCATATATTCAGTACTTATTCAATAAAAAAAAATAAAGAAATAAATCAATGCACTAAAACAAATAAATGGTGTCCAGGTTTCTATCTAAATCAGTGGTTCTCAACACGCATGCGGCCCGTCACGAATTCAAATGCGGCCCACCGTGCTGAACACAATTAAAAAGAAAATACTTTCAGTTTTACAATTAATTTTAGTTTTTACATTAATTTAAAAATGTACTAAATAAATATAAGATATAGCCTAATGTTTTTATGTAAAATAATTTTGTTTTTCCTATATTATTTTCAGACATGAGCATACTCACATAGCCCAATTAACGTTACGCATTTAAAGTAACGACCAAGCGGCCAGCGGCAGACAGTGAGCATATGTTTGATCAATTTAGCCTTCTCAAATCATCACGGCTTGACTAAAATAAAATCTATAGATATAAAACAGTTCAAGCATATAACAATGTTTAGACGTTAAACCTAGAAATGTGCGCTGTATCCAATCATTTGTGCGGAGAGTGGAAGCTGAAGCGCACTTTGCAGGACATAGAGACGCCAGCGCGATCACTTGTGTTTTTTTTCAGTGGATACGCCGTCATTTTTACTCATAAAGACAAGAGTAATACATCATATGTAACTGTAAAGGGTCTACTTTTATTTGTGTGCACTCACAATATCAACAAAACGTTGTGCTTTTATAAAATAAAGAAATCAAACATGATGCGCTTTCTGCCATCTCGGTCTTGAACAGGAGCGCTTCACAAAAATGAACTGAAACTCAGAGAATACATGCCTCACAGACATGATAAATATATCAATCGAAAGCTTTAAATTACTACTTAATGAAATAAAACAAATCAAAAACTCTTTCATTATGATCATAATCCGTAAAGATGCACTTCTCTCTAAAGGCGC